CTGTTTATTGCGTTTATTATCACATTTATACTTGATTAATTAAGATATCTTATCGATAAAGATATAATATAAAATAAATCTATATTGCATGAGACAAATAATATTCAGTTCTTATGACTCTTATATAAAGTAGCAATAATTTGACATTATTTTATATCGTTATCATCAATTACTGTAAATAAAAAAAAAATTAATAGATATAAATGTTTTCATATTCGAAGAGCTGAAGGTCAATGTATTATTTATAAACTTTGTGTAATGTCATGATGGATACACGTATATTTCAATAGATGATTATATACCATTTCTGCTAATCATCGTATGATTTGCAGATAAAGTCTCATACTAAATGATAGGCCTTTTCTTTTTTTTCGAAATATTTTTCTTTTTATATTTAATGTTCAATATTTATCGTAAATAATTAAATTTTTCAATTGCATGCATATTTCATGATAAATTGTTAATATACTAATATATCTATACATAATTTAATTTTTCCAATTTTAAAACGAATACCAGTGAGCAGCATAACTTAATCAATGTCGTAAAAAAAATCATGTAACAATTGAACGAATTCAAGATTGTGAAAATGGAAGTCTTGAGCTTTGAAATAAGGTTACGTAGATTGTTATATAATTTTTTTCAACAAAGTTATAATATTTCAAATTATTGACATTTTTCTTTTTCTTTTCATGATTATTTTTCTAGAGACAGTTTACGATCGTATAAAATTGAAAAAATTTTTAATATTTTTAATATTATAAAAACTATTATAAACTATAAAGATCTTTAGGCCTTACTGGATTACGTTCGTAATTTTTAAATATTATACTTATACTCTGAAATAAAAAATATATACTGTAGAATAGAGATAGAATTCCTTTTTATTAAAATTGTTGTTCTTTTTATGTAAATGAATTCAATTACAAATTTGTCGACATCGATTAGGCGCTTAATCGAGGCAACAAAAACTATATATAAGTACGTACATAAGTTCAGTACGTTCAAGGTTTAAAGGTTAAATTTATTATAAGTTTACCAAAGTTCATGGATATATATTTGTATGAAATATATAAAATACAAATAGTTGAGTTTTTATAAAGGTATATAAAATTTATGTAAAAGTATGCATTTTATGATGTGTATAAGTTTTTCTTTGTAATGTACATACAAATTTATGAATTAATTTATGAAAACAAATAAGTCAAAAGTAATGTAACTAACATCACATGTATATAAAAAAGGACATTAAAACTGATAAAATGATACTCAAAACAAAAATGAGAAATAAAAATTTGCAATATAGAGTTATGAAAGAAGAGAAATTTCTGTCATGAAACACAGGAGAAAAGAATCAAATGTTGGAAAAATTAAGCCGAATTATTATAATTACTGTACAATTGCTTCAAATTTACTATTAATTTCTTCACAATATTAATGGACTTACAAGAATAAAGCAATTAATCCACTAGAGAAAAGCGCTATCACTGCTGCAGTTTTCAACATCTTGACCAAACGTGTGCTCTCTCGTACTGGAACTATACAACTGAAAAATTTCCTTGGTGCAAGAGTTCAAGTCTTAATAAATCTTTGTATAGGAATAAATTGTTGGTTGTTACAATGTGTAAGTACATCTATTATCAGGTAAAAAAGAGGGAATTTCATTTTTAGCACCATCTACTGGTGAATTGCAAATTGTATATATTCAATTATATATAGCTGTATCTATGTACAGAAATGAAAGTCCCATACAAGAGCAAAGAAAGCAGTTCCTTGTCTCACTAACCGACCTATTTGGTTTTGTTTATCCTGCGTGACTTCTCGACCAATAGGTATCTTTAAATTTAAGAATGGATTGGAAATAACCAACCAGACCCACATTCTTTTCGAGGACTTCTTCTCATTTCTGCACGGCACGTATATAAATACGTTAGTGCAAGTATAATTCATTGTTTCGAATCTTGAGATAGTTATTACAGTTCAACTTAGTAAGAATATATTTTATACAATATATTTTATAAAATATAATAACAATAATATATCAAGTTTTACAATTTGTTTTGTTTTGGGGATTATGAGAGAAATAATTGTAATTATAGAAGATAAGAAATCGAGTAACAGAATTGTTATAGAAAGAATCATTTATGGCGATTCACTTGATTGCTATTTTTTTTTATTTCTAAACGAGTTTGGATATGTTTCATTGCGTTTGTGTATTAAAAATTGCTAAGAGATATGATATCACTTTCAATTTAAATCAGTTTTTAAATAATTTCTATGTAGATTGATTTAAGTGTGGGCAGTTCCAAAATTTAAAATTTCAACCGGAAGTCGCATATCACTATTTGAGCTTATATGTATGTATATATACAGAAGAATTGCCTCAAATACGAATATAATAAATAAAAATAATATAATTAAAACAAATAATTTTATTCAATTGATAATTACGTCGAAAAATAATTACAATTACAATACATAAAGCTTATTAATAATTAAAGATCATATACTTAGTGCTATTCTAACGAACATGAAAGTTTATTTTTAAATATAACTATAATGCTACTACCGCTCATCTCTTTGATAATATATATCTTGTATACAATTATGCAAAAACTGTTTTAGTCTTTTCGAATCTAACTGATTCTACGAACCACATCTGTTACTAAAATGTGAAGTTTTAATAAAAATCAGAAGCTATCTTTGGCAACTTTGAATAATTTGAACAAATACTATTGGAAATATTGCTAATTGACTATATAACATATGTACATATGTCATTACCATTTCGTTTCTTGTCACTTCGACTATTAATATTTAACGAATATAGTTATACTTCAATATTCCTTTATATATACAGCGCGAATGTTGTTTTAAACATTTTCGAACACATATTTTTCCATTTTTTTAATTGAGAGTACAGAAAAATTAATATTTTAAATAAAGTTTTGTAGAATATTTTTTGTAGGTTGTACACGTCCATAATTCGTAAAAAAAAAAATTGAAATTTATATTAATTTAAAAATCTTATTTTCAAAACAACAAACTTTGCAATTACTTCAAATTAACATTGTGTATTTTCTTACACATTCGTTTTGATTCATTGTACAAAATTCGCTATGCAGTCAAATTCTTAAAATTAGTTTAAGAACCTTTGTATTTGGAAGTATTTTATACAGATATTTTTTTTCTTAATAATTATAATAAAGCACCATCAATATACAGGAAACGTATTTTTAACGATTATTTACATAAATAATCTACATATATATAAACAACTGTATATTCTGAATGTAATTCAGATTTTTTGTGAAAATAAAAAGTATAATGTTCTCTTTGAGATTCAGATAAATAAAATTCTGTCTCAGTCAAGTAAAAAAATTTACAAAAATGTAAGATCAAATATATAGTGTATAAAATTTTTTGGTTAACCAAAATTAAAATATCTTTATATGCAACAATAACAATGTTTGATTGTATCAACAATGATCAATAATATGTCAAATATCTAATTCTGTATAATCACACATAAGATAAAATTGAAGTGTTATATAAAAATTAAAAGATTGCTTCAATTGAACTACAATTTAGTACATTGTAAGAGATGATTTTCTAGCGATAGCATACATCAAATATCCATAATTTCAAACATTTTTTATCACTTTAGTCATATATTATTTAGATGACATAATATGTGTGTTTCATATAATCCTTAACGACATCAAATATGCGCGCTAATTACCAGGTACTAGTTAATATATGCAACAGAAGAGACTATTCCTTAAAATGAATATAATACAAGTTTTTCTCTGAGGAAAAACTGCATACCTTTGGATAAAGATTTTGCTAATTTATAAAGATCTGTAAATTATTGCATAAAAATGTTAATTATCATTAAATCCAGTATCTATTCTTAAATTAAAAATAATAATGTAAATTCATATTATTTTGTCATGTAACTTATTATCAAGCAAGATAACAATTATGCGTTTTTGATTTTTTTTTTATAAATTATTTATGGCATTTTTGAAATCTCTCACCAAAATCTGGAATACTTATATATTAAAGAAAAACATTGAAATAATTTTATTGTTTCAATGTTCAATGACACATTTACCATTATGAGTATATACTAAAGTACAAATTCTTTTTAAATAAGTCTAAGATTTTATCTAGGACGTCCAAAGATATGTATAAACAAAAATAATATAAAAAGATTTCAGAAGATATTTATAGTCTCTTAGACTGCAACATTTATACTTTTTGCTTAAATGAACAAAGATAATCACTTACATTTACTTGCTGCCATTATACGATTTGGAATAAAAAATAAAAACTGTAGCTAAATTATAGAAATAATAGAATTATCTCTTTTCATGTGCAGCGATCAAATCGCTACTATTTAAAGCTTAAACTAAAGGCTAGTCACGCATTATTAGTAAGCGGAAAGTCAAAAGGCACCATGTTCCCCAATATCTTAGAAATACTTGATTGCACTTGAAAACTGATTTATGCTTGCTATAGTAATAAAATAATATAAACTGAACTTCAGATCATTAAAGAGAAGTCTTTGACATTATTTTGATAATAAAAATATAAGAGTTGATATTTTAGAAATTATGATCTTAATCGAAAAGATTCATAAATTGATTTATATAAATTCTTTTTTCTATTTTAAATAATTCGAAGCGTATCACGCTATGATAGAGGAATCTGAGAGCTTTCATATATTAAAACTTTAACACTTACTCTAAAAAAATCTCGATCAATAAATAAAAAAGATCGAGGCTAGTTGGAACGATTAAAATTTTCAACAATCTACAATTGATACTTGTAAATGAATAATAACAGATCCATGGCCTAATTTGTTACATTTAAGACTAGAAAAAATCATCCATGGAGAGCGTTAAGACGATAGTGCGAGGCCCAAGCGAGCAAATGCCATTTCCTTTCGTAACCGTGTAATTTCCCAATAAACATCGTGAACTGTAACAGTTAAATTTTCTACACTACAAGAACAGAAAATTAGAATTATCAATATTTACCTGAGCTTTTTACAAGGCCACGCTCAATATAACGTAAATAATTCAAAAAATCGCAAACCGCTATAATCTGCAAAAATATATTTTATTTTATACTCTATATTTAAAAATTCGCAATAAATGATTTACAAGATTTATAAGATTTACAAAACTCACTCGATTGCGACAAATTTGTGATATGCTGTACCACTGATTTTCTTGATCCCCAAGTCTCATTCGATAATAACATTGTCGTGGTGCTTCAAGCAAAACACATTTTCTAAAGAAACAAAAGACATATTGATTTAATACGACCAGAAAATTTGTAACATATTATTAGTATGATAGTAAAACACAAAATTTACTTTGGAAAAGTGAATTTAGTTTTGTCGCTGATCGCTTCGATAAAGATGATGCCATCGAGAACGGCTTGTCTAACTTTTGTACCCAATTCTTTGTTAGGGAAATCAAGGCAAAGATCGATGTCTTCTTTAAAGATTCTATCAACAAAAGGATCACCTTTGTCTACACATGGATTAGCTTTCCATTTAAGAAACTCTGTATGTACTCTGGGATCAACTTCGAGGCCAAAATCTTTGCATTCTTTGTCTTTTTCCTTTTCTGAATCTTTCTTCCAATCTTTTTCTAGTGTCTCTCGGTCCGATGGTAAAGATGGTCTTTGTTCTTTCAACGGAGAATCTGGCGGAGAATTCTCTCGACCATATTTCAAATTGAAATGCGATGGTGACCTAAATGGAAGGATATCTCGGATATAATCTCGGAAAATAATACTATTTACTGATATTCTTGATGACTGACAAAGCATATGATTAAAAAGTATTTATTAATGTACTTTTACCTTCGATGTTTCCTCGCAAAAAGACCTTGTTGAGTATCTTCACTGCTTGGACGATTTTTCGTATCGATCTGCGGATGCAGATGAAAGTTTGGTTTGGCTGGTGTTGAAGTTAATACTAATGTTTTTAGAGCAGCTACTTCTGCAGCTAGAACTTCCGCTTTCATACGGCTTTCTTCTAATAGCCGCTCTGCGGTAGCTTGACGTATATTTGCTTCTCGTACCATGTTATGTGCCTCCTATTTACATGCAAAAATTAATGTTTTATATCATTACACGTCAACAATATATGTTCATGAGGTTTACTTGAAAGAGACTGGCAGTGAGTTCCTCCAATTCAACTTCAACATCTTGTTTGATTCTCGAAAGTCTTGTGACTTCCTCATCCTTCAATTTCAACTCTTCATGTGCTCTTTTAAGTTCATCTTGTAATTTTGCTACAGCATGTTCTTTTACTTCAGCTATAGCTCTACCCCATTGTAAAGTTGTTGGCGAGGGTGGTTTCTTTTCCTGAGAATTCTGAAAAAAATAATTGAATATCATTACAGTAATATAAACAATTAATGATAATATAATGAATTACAAGAAATTACTTGAGAGTCTTTTATACATAATAATGGTTTTGAAGAGTTATTACAATGGTTGAGCTTTGTTGAATCATTAATGGAATCTTTGTTGTTTATTATTTCAACATCTTCTTCACTAAATGTAATAGGTAATGGTTTGATACAATGATTTTGATTTTCAAACAATTTATGTTCATTCTTGTTCAACCTTGCCAAAGTGTCACAGGATTTTGCAGGATTTCTTTGTTCCATCGTTGATGAATTTCAATATTGCAATAGAACATTGTGGAGTTTTCTTGTGTACGTAAATACAAGAGCGGCCTTGGTTGAACTGGAACTAAACAAATTAGCCTGTAAGAACGGATGTTGCAAGATTTAAAAATAACTTGCCTTAATAACAACATTTTGTAAAAATATAATCCCCTGAGGTATTCTTGTAAGTGATGAGAAATGACTAAAATAAATACAGGTACTCATGTTGCACAATTATGTATATACGTCAACTTCTAGATCTAAAAAAAGAAACAGCATGACAAATTCTGATTATACATGTTAATTTAAGATTAATTTCATCTCAAGAGGGAAAAAATAAAGAAAATGATGTTTTTTTATCAAAATAATTTACAATTATTATTAAATCATAAAATACGTAGTAAAGGTGTTGCACACCTTTCATAACGGATACCCCTTAATTAATAGTAATTCATCTTAGCAATTAAAAGCACGAGAGAATAAATTCCGTTAGACAAGTGTTCTTTTATTTTTACAAAGACGCTTCGTTATCATTGCAGTACATAAAATAAATCATTGTTTGAAATATTGTTTCAGTATGTCTCTTCAACGAAGATCAAATGAACAGCATCTAAAGATGAGAGGGAAATTCATCGACGAAAAAACGAATCCACGCGTATCGATCCGAAGTCGGTGTGATTCTGATACCTCAACAATAATTCTGTAACTTACCCATGAACCTTTCTTCACGCAAGTCTCCTGCCATTAGTGGGTTTGGCGAAAGTCATCAAACTTTAAATCAGAGAAGGAAGAAACGGGACGATCGAAGGGAAGAACTTTTTCTGCAATATGTCAACTCGGTGTCAACGTATATAACGAAACGACGTCCATCACCTTCACGCGATCCGCAACACGGCTCGACTGATGTCACACAGGCAACAGTGAACTTTCAAGCGCCACAGGTTACCTACTGCTAAACGCTCGTACTACCTTGTACCAGCTCGTGCTCGTGCTCCGTAGATTATGAAGTCATTGAGGTTCACACGCGTCTTAAATTAGGCAAGGAATTATGAAAGCGAGCATCGTGTGGCACGCATACGAAAATGACCTCTGAAATGCGAATTACACTGCTCGCGTGTGTAGAGATTCGCTCGTTACCGCCTTTTTAACGTAATTAGAACTAAAGCGATTTCAATTGCGCTCAATGCCGCTGGAATTTAGTCTATTATTGTTTTCTCACGGTCTCGTTTCTGCTTTATTTCAATTAAACAACAGTCGATGGGTTTCAAAAGTATTTCAGAAATTTATAAGCATCGTAGGTGATCGCGCGCATGTGGAATATTGTAGATGAAAATTTTTAGATGCGACAGTACCTTATCTTTTTTTTTTCCAGCGGTAATCTCGACGTCTAGTGACTTGGTAATTTCGTCTCGTTTCTCCGTCAATGGGATTTCATGCTCTCTTCTTTACCGTTATGCGGCGTCTGCTGTAGTGTTTGGTGCTTTTCGCGCGTGACTATGTTTGTTTGGCTTTGTGTCTGTGCGATGGCATAGTTGCAATCGTGCGAAGTATGAATTTGAGTCCAAGAAGTTAAATATGAATCACTTGCAACCGTGATTATTTATATTTATAAATAATGGATATCGAAAGTGAGTACCATTTCACTTGCATTTTTTCTATAGTATATTCATGAAAAGATTATAAATATGAATGTAGTATTATTGAGATTAATGTACATATATGTATATGAAAAATATACATGTATATATTATATATATGAAAAAGATTTACAAAGATTAAGCTTTATTGCATAAGTAAGAGTTAGTAATTAATACAACTTCTTTAATAACTAGCATAGTGTGCTATGTGTGTATATATATGTTGATTTAATAGGATTAATTAAAAAGAAGAAACGGGTCAAACGTGATGGCAATCTTCAGCAATTGGCTGAAATTGTTAAAGAACTTGGAGATGTATATTTTGAAAGTGGCAAGTATGAAGATGCTTTGCAGGAATATACTGAACAATTGGAAATCTGTAATATCTTAGAAGACAAATTAAACATAGCGGTAGCTCATAGGATGATTGGAGAGATACAGGCGGATCTTGGCACCTATGAGAAAGCATTAGAGCATCAAAATCTTTATTTGGGTTTGTATTGAAAATGTACATTGATACTTTGAAATTACATAGCTGTAATAAAAATATTTTTTGTGTTAGGTAGAAGGAGCCAAGGAGATAAAAAATTTATTAGAAGAGCAACGAGCTTATGCAACATTAGGTAGAACATATTTCTGCTGGGCTGAAAGTTTGCCCGAAGAATCTGAAAAGAAACCTGATGCTCTCACAAATGCAAGAAATGCATACATGAAGAGCATACATCTTTGCAATAAGTATTATATCTTTTTCCTACATTTAATATTAATTTTCTAAGCAGCATATTGTAAAAAAAAATATTTGTGATATTTGTGTTATTTATGTTTAGACTAAGTGATACTAATATCGAATTGAGGGAACTGATTACAATGAGAGCACGATTATTACTGAATTTGGGATTGGTACTAGAAGGTGAAAAAAAACATCAAGAGGCTATTGATCTATTGGAAAAAGCTGCAGGTTTATGTAAGACACATAATTTACGAGAAGATTTTCATAGAACGCAAATTGCTCTTGGAGGAATTTATGAGAGAAACTGTGATTATGATCTGGCTTTAACACATTTTCAATCCGCAACTGAAGTTGATAATTCAACTTTAAAAGCAGAAGCACGATTTCTCCAAGCAGAATTGCTTTTAAAAATAGAAAAATGGTCTGAGTCGCGGAAAATATTAGTGCCTCTTTATGTTATGGATAACTTACCGCAAACTCTGAAACGACAAATAGAAAAATGTCTCAGGATAGGTATGATTTATGAGAATATATTTGTTTTGAAAGTTTCTATGAAGTAATATCTATTTTAAAAAAATTATTTATTCGTAGTTGCAACGTTACAAACAACTGAAGATGCTTTAAGTACAGAAGAAAATACCAGCGTTAAGTTGAAATATTATGAAACATTAGGAGATGCAGCAGTGGCTGCACACTGTTTTGAAAAAGCCATAGAATATTACAGAAAAATGCTCGTATGTGCGGAAGAAACTGAAAGTGAGCGTACAGGAGCAGCTTTACTAAGTTTAGCCCAAACATTGAAAGATGTTGGTCGATATAATGAAGCATTGGACTTTGCTTATAGAGAATTAAAACTATGTGTAGATCCACGTGAAATATGCAGATCTGCTTTGTTTCTAACAGATTTAATGGTAGCTACTAAAGCAACTGCTGAGAAAATTGAAGAAATTTATAGTTTAGCCTTGGAAAATGCAAAATCTTGCAATGATGTTTCTTTAAAAGCAAGTGTACTAACAGAACGTTTAAATTATTTAACAAATACTGGTAAATCAGATGAAATAAAAACACTTAAGGAAGAACTAAATGTATTGGAGGAATTATCTAATGATACAGATAATGAAAGTGAATCGGGAGAAACTATTGGTGCGAATGTTTGCTTGGAAGATTTATCGGATGTTGAAGCAGAGTTAAAGGTTAAAGAGAATGTCAAAAATAGGAAACGAATAAAAAGAAATAAATCGGTTGCTGTAAAAAGAAATGAAAAAGGGGAGACACAGCTTCACGTAGCTTGTATCAATGGAAATATTGAAACTGTAGAAAGATTATTAGAGTCTGGACATTCAACGAGTGTTAGAGATCATTTTGGTTGGACTCCTCTTCACGAAGCAGCTAATCATGGTCATGTGGAGATAGCAAAATTATTATTAAAGTATGGCGCAGATATAAATGATCCTGGAAGTTTAATGTGTCAAGGAGTTACTCCTCTTCATGACGCGGCTTCTTGCGGTAATTTTACTATGATAAGGCTATTAATCGAACATGGAGCAAATGTAGAACTTACAACAAACGAGGACGATACTGTACTATATTGTTTAGAACAGTGGAAGAATCGTGTTGATTTTTTATCTTCTGAAGATCAAACGGAGTACAATGAATTACATAAAATATTATCTACTATGATACCGGCCAGTAAAAAGAAAATTTCAAAACGATTTCATAAATCACCATGTAATTCAGGAACTCATATCGTAGATGAAAGTGTTCGTATAGAAAAGATTTCTGCAAGTGAAGATTATAAAAGAACTATAGCTAGTTTGAAACATAGAAATGATCCAATTGGAGCTTCTCTGTGCTCTACGAAACGAAATGTGAATCCACTTTTAAATAGCGAGGAGGTCCTTTTGGATGATTGGTTAGAAGATGATATGAATGAAAGTATAAATAATAGAAAGTATTCTAATGAACATTCCTTCTCATTGACAAAAAGGAAATCAAATAATGGAGATGTTGATGTCGAGAAAAATTTAAAACGGCAGAAAACAAATGACCAAGATCTAACAGTCAATAATGATGAATGCGATATGATAGAGGAAGATAGTGAAGATAACTGTGATACTGAAATAAAACAGATTTCTAGTGAATGTAAAGTTCAGAAAAAGAAACAGCAAATGTCTTTGTTATCAGTTGGATTTACTAAAGATTCTACTTCTCGAAGTTCTTCACCTGTAATTCCATCTGCAACAGAATACGAATCGAGAGAAATCAATACTATAAGATCAGTTATTTTAAATATCTCTGTGGATGGAAAAATGTTCAAAATTCAAATAGAATTTTCAAATACAGCAAGACCATTAATAGAAGAAATTGTAGCTGATATTGAAATTAAATTTTATAACGATACTGGGTGTAAAGCAAAACTAGATTTAAAAACTATGGATGGTATTGAGATCAATTGCAATAATGTGTTCGCGATATTAAATGAAGGGAACATCGTTAAAAATTTGATATGCGAAATAATTCAGTTAGAAACTCCTTCTATCGTCGAGCGATATGGAACTATTTGTAAAAATTATAATATAGGTAAATATTTTATGAATACACATACTTATTTAATTTTCAAAATAATCATTATTTTCAATACTTTTAGATGTCCGAGAAAGTATGCTAAAGTGCTTAAAATCATGTGAAAACACTTTTACTTTACGGCTGAAACAAGAAGATATTGGAAAAGAGGAATTCATATCCTTATTGAAAACTCTGGAATATGAAAAGAACGTTCAAATATTAGATTTATCTGGTGGTAAACTACATGAACTAGGGAAAGTTTTAAACGATTGTATTTCAAGATTGTCAACTTTACAAGAATTGTGCCTTCAAGGATGTGATATAGATTCTATATGTCTAAGTAAATTGGAGAAACTACCTTCACAACTTAAGTTTCTAGATTTTAGCTATAATCCACTTGGATCATCAAGCCAAGAAATCTTGTGCAAACTTCTCACCCCTTTGACACAGCTTAGGACATTGAATTTGAGATATTGCCAATTAAATAATTTTCGTTTCCTTTTAAACAACAATAATCTGGTAAATCTAGATATTTCTTGGAACTCTTTTAATGAAGAGGAGCTCTGTACCACTTTACAAAGACAATTACTTAACTTAAATTTATCGAATACTGTTTCTTCTAACAATTTCAATTTGGTAAAAAATATTTTTAATAAAACAGATTTTTCATTTGTTACCTTGGAATGTTTAGAGCTTGCTTCTTGCGAATTATCAGATATTGACATTAGAAATGTATTGTCACATGTATCGAATCTTTCGAAATTGGTTTTAAAGGGAAATAGAAAAGTGGGAGTACAATCTCTGAATTTGTTATTAAATTATACGCCAACATTACAACACATCGATATTAGTGGATGCGAAAATATTGTCGAATTTCCTGATTCTGAAATATTTATTGAGAAACCTGAAATTTGTAAATTAATCGTGAGTATGTATCCAGAAGTATGCGATTGTTGGGTTCGATTATGGCGCGGAAAGGGTATTGTGAAGAAATTACCGCATAATCTTACTATTTTTGAACCTGTGTTTTAGTATTTCAAATATTTTTATACATAAAAATTGCTATAAATCGCAGACAATCTTAATTTACTTTGAAACATCTTATATTTTACGTGTAGATGATTATTGTCACTAACTTTAGTAGTTTATCATATTTTAATTTTTATACAGATTATTTTATTGAGTTGTAAATTTGTAGTAATAAATAAAAATATTTTTTAACGATTAAATACGTCTACATTAAGTTTCAGAAAATATTTTGTAAAATTTACTTAAATTTCTTAAATACCGGAAGTGTATGTTTTACTGCATTTCCCGTCATCAATGTGAATGGGAACATATTTGACAAAGTCCAATTCAATGTATATTTGTTATCAAAGTTTGATTGTTTACAGTAACCTATTCTTCAAACTAGTGCTGAATGAAATCATAAAAAGCAAAAAAATGTGTATGTTAATGTGGGTTAAATAAAGTACTTAAATAGGATGTCTGAAAATATTTTAAAACCATAAACATTTAAAACAAGCAATGAACAGGCAATAATTAATTACTAATGCTGTCAATGTAATAAATAAATAATGTAAGTGAATAATAGTTCTAATTGTATTAATTTAATGTCGACTGAATCATTATAGTAATTTAATATCGATTGAATCATTAGCAGTTTTTATATGTCATAATAATTTCTTTTAGATTCTAATTCAATAAAGAATACAAAATAACTGATGTTCATTGAATATTAACAAGATGTTCGTATACTTGAGTAAAAAAATAGCAATACCGAATAACTTTCGTCTGAATTGTATAGCATGGAATCAATGCGAAGGTTATATAGCTGTTGGTGGAGAGGATGGTCTTTTGAAAGTACTTAGGGTAGACTCCAATGCAAGTAGCTCTACCAGTGGTGGAAAGTCTAGAAACTTGACTGCTGCCAGCAACTTAAGTATGAATCAAACTTTAGAAGGTCATAATGGCCATGTGCAAGTAGTTATCTGGAACGAACAACATCAGAAACTAACTTCAAGCGATCAAAATGGTGTAATTATAGTTTGGATGTTGTATAAGGGTTCTTGGTATGATGAAATGATAAATAATTGCAATAAATCGATAGTTAAAGGAATGGCATGGAGTTCAGATGGGCTAAAAATTTGCATAGTTTATGAAGATGGAGCAGTTATTGTAGGTTCGGTTGATGGCAATAGAATCTGGGGAAAAGAATTAAAAAATACAGCACTTGCTGCTGTACAGTGGTCTCCTGATGGAAAATTATTATTATTTGGTATCAAAAACGGGGAAGTTCATCTTTTTGATAACCAAGGTGTATTCTTAACAAAGTTAAATATGATACCGCTGAATGGTGGTCAAGTTCAAACAATAGTTTCAATGCAATGGTATGACGGAAGAAATGGTTTCATTAGCCTAGAGTGTCCAACTTTAGCTGTTTGCTACAGGAATGGAAAAATACAGCTGATGAAAAATACTAATGATGATAATCCAATTGTAGTAGAAACTGGTATGACAGTGGCATGGTGTTGTTGGAATAGTTATGGATCTATATTAGCAGTAACTGGGATGTTACCATTATTAGGCAATGGAGAAACAAAGGATACCAATGTCATTCAATTCTATACTCCATTTGGTAAACATATGAAAACTCTAAAAATACCTGGTAGAGAAGTCACTTCTTGTGCATGGGAGGGAGGATCACTCAGAGTAGCATTATCTATTGACTCTCATATTTATTTTGCAAACATTCGTTTAGATTATAAATGGACTTATTTCAGCAACACGGTCGTGTATACAAACGAAAAGATTACTAAAGATGGTATTTGTATCATGTTTTGGAATACAATAAATAATACATGTTGTACGAAAAATGTTAGAGCATTGATTTCTATAGCTTCGCATGGAGATCATTGTGTTTTAGCAATAAAAAATGATTTTGCTCAGGGATCAGAGCAATTTGCACTTTTAGTGTGCAATACAATTGCCACTCCAATAGATACTAAGTTTATAGATTTAGAACCACTATGGGTAACTATGACCAATAATGTGGTTGTCACAGCATCCAAGAACAATTTTTTGGTGTGGAGTTATCGCACTCCTCATAATTCCATGTTGCATGCAGGACGAATTAGGAGAGATAAGATTTATCATATTGACGAAACTCCAACCGGCGTGACGGAAGTTATTCAAGATTTAGACAAAGATAGATCCTTTGAATCACCTATTAATACTAAGGCTACTATGGATCCAATTTGCTGCTTGTGTGCAACTGATAAAATTCTATTGATAGGCAGAGAATCGGGAATGATTCAAAGATATTCCTTAGCTCAGATAACTCTTACAAACAGATACAACACAGCATGTAAGCTTTACAAAATTGCAGTCAACTGTGATTCGTCTCGAGCGTCTATTATGGATTCGAGTGGTGTTTTAACCATGTTAGATTTAGAGACTGATATCAAAAGAAATACTTTGAAAGATGGAGAGTCAGAGGACGAAATAAATAAGTTTGAAAGAAAAGATGTGTGGGCCATGTGTTGGGCACAGGATAATCCCGCTTTATTAGCAATTATAGAAAAAACCAGGATGTACGTTTTAAGAGAATTTGATCCTGAAGAACCAATATCTTGTTCCGGATACATCTGTTCATTTCGAGATTTAGAGATACGTTGCGTTTTATTGGATGATCTCATGCAGAAACCAGAAGATACAAAAATTGAATTAATAGTGGATTTAGAAGTGAAATCTCTAAGGGATACCAGAGAATTGTTGACGAAAGTAGGATTGAAAGAGGCGAATAATTTCATCCAGGATAATCCACATCCACGATTATGGCGCTTGTTAGCAGAATCAGCTTTGCAGAAACTAGATTTAGAAACTGCAGAAAATGCAATGGTTCGTTGTACAGATTATTTAGGTATACAATTTATCAAACGTTTGCAAAATGTGCACAATGATCAATTGAAGAAAGCAGAGGTGGCTGCGTTTCTTGGCAACTATGACGAAGCTGAAAAATTATATTTAGATATGGACAGAAGAGATCTTGCTATTTCGTTACGTCAAAAATTGGGAGACTACTTTCGAGTCGTACAGTTAATGAAGATGGGAATCGGTGGATCTGATAAGCAAATGGAATATGCCTATAATAAAATTGGTGAATATTACGCCGAGAGACAGAATTGGGAAGGTGCAAAAGAGTATTATGAAAAGAGCAGGAATCTAGAGAAACTCATAGAATGTTATTATAAATTAGAAGATTTCATTCAATTAGCAGGAACAGTGCAACAGCTACCAGATAAGAGTCCCCTATTAAAAACGGTAGCAAGAATGTTAGGTTCTGTGGGCATGTGCTCTCAGGCAGTGGCAGCATATATAAAATATGGAGATGTAAAACTAGCTGTAGATACGTGTGTTCGTTTGAATCACTGGGACCAAGCAGTCGAATTGGCAAAAACTTATAAGATGGCACAGATAGGTGAGTTATTGAACAAGTATGCAAATCATCTTTTGTCGAATGGAAAGAGACTGCAGGCTATAGAATTGTACAAGAAGGCAAATCATAACTTGGAAGCAGCAAAATTACTGTTCCAGCTAGCAGAAGAACAAGCAAAGACTAAAACAAATCCATTACGTGTGAAGAAAATTTATGTTCTAGCAGCTCTGCTAGTTGAGGATCATATCAACACTGCTCCAGCTGTTAAGGGAGGTCGTAGCAATGTTATAATGGGTTTGACGGAGAACAACGAAGATACTCGGGTAATAGAAAATGCCTGGAAAGGAGCAGAGGCCTATCATTTCCTTCTGTTAGCAAATAGACAGATATATTCAGGAAATTTTGACGGAGCTATGAAAACAGCTTTAAGACTGAGGGAATATGAAGATATTTTGCAACCCGAAGATATTTACTGCCTACTTGCTCTATCAAGTGCAGTCAATCATGCTTTTGCAGTCTGCTCCAAAGCTTTCATCAAATTGGAGTCTTTAGAGACTATCTCAGAAACGACCAGAGAAGAATATGAAGATTTAGCTGTGGACATCTTCACAAAACACAGTCCTCAAGATGTTCGTAATTCTAAAGCGGAATGTACAAATTGCGAGAGTTTGATACCTGATTGGTGTGTCGCTTGTCCGAATTGTATGACCAGATTCCCTCCTTGTATCATTTCTGGGAAACCGTTAATGGATCTGGCCAATGCGTGGATCTGTACCGTTTGTAGGCATCACGTGGCTACAGAACGAGATGTGGTTAATATTAACGCTTGCCCATTGTGTCACAGCACGATTACGTACATGTAGTTGACGTGTGTGAGTATGCATTAAACATGCATTATCAGATAAATATTTGATGCTTGCACTATAACAAACATGTTGTTGGCTTTAAACTTATTATCGAAAGAATAGGTTTCATTTTTATAGCAGTATATACACTATTACTTAGAAAATATAGCGCTTAAAAGTATTAATTTATGTTACGATTTATATAATAATATGTTTGGTACCTGCTTGATTTATTGAATTAACGAGGACAATGGATAATTTTTTGATCATATATTTAGAATAATGTTTGATAGTATGATTATTTAAATTAATGTTATTTATCATGGAGTAAATATATGACATTTCATTTCAAAGAAATATTATTAGGGATACATGAGATGTAAAATTTTCGTAGTTGTATAATTTCTGATCTCATTTATAAGTCTGAAGTCGCTTTTTCGTTTAATGTTTTATAACTTTCCATAATTTAAATTGTGAAGCAATTCTACACTTTATGAAAAAAACATTGAAACATTGAAATTCCGTCCATAATACGTATAATGTTATTTATTAATTTTTATATTGTTGTAATCGTTCACATTAAACATATTTTGGATTATTTCTTATGTTTTTTTTTTCTTTTAACGAATATTTCCCTCCAATTCAAAGTTTAATTCATCCAATAAAATTCGAAGGTTTGCGCATGGCAACTGGTTTAGCGCGCTACGAAATTTCAAATATCCTGTTTCATCCAGACGCTTTCGATTACTGCGCATGCGCGCGCCAGTGTCGGCCCGCGTTCTTTCGACGACCAAGTCAGTGCGTGTTGAACCAGTCAGAAGGACGTATCGCGTCGGGTTATTGTCCCTCTTTCACGGATATTTACACCATTTCATTCGAGCTTCACTTCCCGGATTACTTAAATTATCGTGGCGGTATTTATTTTGAATTCTCAAACGTGCTTGCGAAACCGAGTCACGATTACGAGGTCAATATCCCGCGAATGTATAAGTGTCGTATCCCGCGTATTTGTCGCGTCAGTTCGTGAGTGTATCGCGAGTGTCCGGCCACAGGAATAATTATGAGTGGTATGCTGTCGATGTTATGTGTTATCCTGATCCTTAGCGTCGCAACGAGCACGGTGCACGCCGGATTGAAATGTGACGCTGTCAGACCTTACTTCGAGTCCCAAGGCTTCCCGGCCACTGACATTCCCAAGGAGGCGATTTCATGTGAGTTTTTGTCCAAAACTTTTCCCATTTTAAAACCGTAAATCTCGGTTTCCATTTCTCCTATTACGTTGTCATTTGTTCTGCATTCGGTATCATTTGCGAATATGGCGCGAAATCTGGGCAATTTGAAAATTGCAACGTAGTTTAATCGCACGTATCGGACTGCTGGAATGTCATTGGTCGAAATTTGAAAATCGTGACGTAGATTAAACATTTGTATTGGTATTGTCGGATTGCTCGAATGTCATTGGTGGGAATTTGAAAATCGTCGCGCATATTAAACATTCGTATTGGTGATCTCGGATTGCTTGAATGTCATTGGTGGAAAATTTGAAAATTGTCGCGTAGATTAAACATTCGCAATGGCAATGTCGGATTTCGACGAAAGGAATTAGCAAAATAGCAATAGGATTAAGATATTCATCTGATTATTTTCGGAGTCATGCATTCGGCAAACTTTTTAAATTTAATTTCAAACTTTTTTCCTCCATTTAATCGACTAACGTTACATACAACGGAATGATTTAAAAATGAATTCTAATTGGAAATCCGACAATCAATTTGTGTCAACTTGTTTGAAAGTTACCCCAGAAGGGTAAGAAAGAGGAATGTACGATGAACGGATAAAAAAAATAAGTGTAGCGAAAATTGAAGTTCAAAATTAGAGTTCGTAATTCACGGCGTCATTCGCGATTTATCCAGCAGAATTTGAGGTCGTTCGCAAACAGACACGTTCAACGAAATATTTATAGTCGATGAATTATGGACTGTGTTTCTTCGCGAGAGGGCTGCACGTGAAATGAAAAAAAAAGAGAGAGAAAAAAAGAAAAACAAATA